CACAGTGGTGGGCCACGGGATAAAGAAGAGTCCACAGTGGTGGGCCATGGGATAAAGGAAAGTCCTGGTGGACCATGGTCTCCAGTGGAAGGGAAAGCACAGTGGGGTGGGCTGTAGAGAGGACGAGGCCTGGAGGTTCCCGTGGGACCTACCAGAATACATCTTGAGGAGAGTCCACTTGAGGATGGTGGCTGGTGTGTAGGGTGTGTGATACAGTGATGGTGAAGTTTACGTGTGACAATGGCCAATGTCTAGGGCACAGTCGTGGTCGTGGGTAGCTGAGTAGACCAAAGGATTGGGAAGTAAGTATGTGAAACTAAACGTTACCCAGAAGATAGGATTCCTAACTAAGACGTTAAGATCTGCTTAAAGATCTTGTTTACAAAAGAGTTTTCTAGATGAAAGATGTGATATTTCAGCCGTATCTCCACTAAATGACACATTGCATATTTCTTCCCATTTGCAACATCAACAGTCACAGGTGTCAGAGGGCTCGTTCGCTATGAGAGTTTCAAGAAGACCCAGTACTCACGTGTTTGAGGTAAAGTCCTCTGGCAGGACAGCCTGTTGCCCAATTCGTTTGGGTCTTGTCACACTGAGCAGTGCAGGGTTATATGTGTGTGTGTGTGTGTGTGTGTATGTGTGTGTGTATGTGCACATGTGAGTATGTGTTTGTGTGTGTGAGCATATGTGTGTGTGTGTGTGGTATGTGTGTGCACTCGTGTGTGTGTGTGTGTGTGTGTGTGTGTGCATGCACATGTGGTACATAAGCTCTGATTTCTACTCTGACTTTTAGGGTTACTGTTTACTGAGAGAGGGTTAGAGTCAGAACTGGGATTTTTCTGCCATCCCCAGAACATCCTAAAATTCTTTACTTCTAGATGGATACAAGAAAACAAACAAACCTTACCATGACACCCTATTTGTAACAAATACAAACACCCGTGTAAAGAATGTCATCTTAGCTCTCAGGAAAGAGGGTCAAAGGTGGGTGCTCCCAGAGAAAGTGAGCCAGTGGTTCCAATTTACAAGATATTATGAAGATAAAACACACTTAGAGAGGGGATGCAGATAAAAGACATTGTTTGGCACCAGTTTAGCCCCTGGAGATGCTCCATCCAGCCTGTAGGTGTCTTCTCCTGTGAAGACACTGCTCCACCCACCTGTCCCATCTACATTCTGGTCTTCATCCTAAATCTTTACTTAACCTGCATTCCCAATCTAATGCTCAGCTTTCCTCTTAGGAAGGCCTACAAGCCTGCTGTATCCACCTCCCCATCCGATACGTGGCCTCTTCTCTACAAGGGCCTTCAGCTATCTCTGCCCACCTCAGACACCCACTATGAAACTCCCAGTGCCTGGACAGCATGATTCCAAGACTCTATGAGGGTCTGAAGACCCTCAAATCTTCCCATTCCCCCCTCCATGTCCTCTAATTGCTTCTCTACTTTGGCTGGCCTCCTCAACTGCCTGTACCTAGTTCTGAGCACACCTGTCCTCTGCTCCAGTGATGACACCATCTTGTTTCTCTGTCTCTGAATGAGGGCTTCCAGGGGCCACTTGGGGAAATATTAAAACTGTGAGCTTAAGGTTCTAGTTTTAGTTGGGCCACTGGAATTCTCAACTCTTTCTTTATGGAGCACTAGTTTCGGGTCCTGTTGTGGAGATATTTGTGCTCTACCATTCCCCTTTAGGGAAGGCAGCCTACAACCTCAAACTCCTTGCTGCTTCCTATGAAAGACCATACCTCTTGTACACGTATCAGAGCGATGGGGTAAGAATTTCCCCAACCTCCACCCTCCATCTCACGTCTCCTGTCCTTAGCTGTATCTTTCTCTTCTTTTGAACCTTTATGGATCCCAGAGGAAGTTAGCGCTGTTATCTTTTAGCTGTGTAATCCCCTTGGGATCTCATCTCTTCTTGTATGGACCTTACATTTTGCAAGAGTGCTTTTCCCTCTTTCCTTTCATCCATCCATCCATCCATCCATCCATCCATCCATTCTTCCTGCTCTTTAAGAAGACAATAAAATGGTTTCTTCTGAGTCGAATGTAAGTGCTAATGGCTTGGGAACACAGGCATTACCATGAATGACAAGACTCCCAAGGCTGCTTTTATTTCAGATCTGATTCCTACTTTTGCCTTTGTTTCTCTCCCAGTGACCCACACGCTTGACCTTGGGCATGCTCTCTGGCAACCCACAGGTCATTCCATGTGTTCATTGGATGTCTCTGCCTTTAGCATGGCTTTTTACCAAGATGGCTCTTTAAATCTCTCAGCATGTGGCTCGAGCCAAGTGACTGACCCTGACTTTCCCTACAGCCCTGCGCCACTCATCCTAGGGCTCCAATCCTTTACGTTCCTCTTGTACTGCTTTGAGACATAGGAATTATTATTATTATGGGATTCTAAAATTGGTTGATTATTGGCCATTTTCCATGGTTCAACCTAATTTCTCTTGTGGCTATCTTCTGTTACCGTTTTACTTCAGGTAATTTGTAAGCATGATTGACTTCCTCATAGACTCCACTAGTGTGGCTTCAGTGGGAGACTTGCTTATGTCACCTTTACCCCTCTGGGATCCCACTCAGTGCCAGTAATAGAATAGTGCTTACTGGGTACCAGATGGCTGCGTACTGATTTCTGAAGGAGTGCTGTAGGGCAGCCACAGGGTGCTAGCCTGGCTTCAGGATACAGTGAAGGAGGAGGAAGGATCCCACCCCTCTTTCCAGTGGTCCCTGTGTACCTGTGGTGTTTCGGATTGGTGCTGATGATGCTGCTTCTGAGACCCAGACCAGTGGCTATCCGATGCCTTGCCTTTGGTGAACATCACGCTCCCACGCATGCTCTTCGGGACTTTGTATTCCTGAGTCATTAGAGTGAGTTCTGAGGTAAACCTGCCCAGGTTCTCAGTGCTTAGTCGTGCTGGTGCCCCAATATTTTGGGTCACTGAAGACTCCTGGGCTGCTAGGAGAAGAGAGTGGCTTTTAGTAAAAGTCATCTTATATTATGAAGGAAAGGACGGGGCGGGGGTGGGGGGACAATGCACCTGAAGCCTACAACATTACTCTCTTACAGAATACCGAGCAATCTTCACATACTGACCTGGGCTGGAAGAAGTGGCTCCGCCCACTGAGCGAACATTGGATGATGGCTCCCTTGGAGTTTTGAGCACTTTTCTGCCTGCATTAGTTACTTTTTTTTTTATTGTTGTGATAAAATATTATGACCAAAGACAACTTTATAGACAAGGCTTTTATTTTGGTTCCTACCAACTGGGACCAAGTGTTCAGATATTTGAGCTAGGGGGAGGGGTTATTTCTCATTCATACTACCACATTGCCCATCTTTTCAATAGCTCCTACAATGGTCTGTACTCATTTTCTTTCCCAGCCCAGAGGCCAAGGATTTCTTAAGTTGCTTGTGCACTTGGAAACCCGACTCTTAACCTTCTGAGTTTTTGGGCAGTGGTAAGGTCAAGGAACAGATGTAGCAGAATTTTTTCTGCCCTCAGAAGAGCCAACTCTAATGATGAACGAATGAAGCAACAAGTGTGTGATTATTAGCAAACGGGTCCTTCATTTACACAGTTAATTTCTCCGCTTTGTTCCTGACTCCCCTTCCAAGCAGAATGCTACCCTCTCAGCTCCCTCCTGAGCTACTTCCTAAAACTTCAGTTATTTAAAATCTACTTAGATAAGCTCTTGCTGGAGTCCCTTTGTGCAAGCCCCGAGCCCCAGAGTCGCTTTATGGACCCCTTGCCTGACATTTGCCCTGCCTCATTGCACCCTTGGGATTCTGACTTCAAAGATGGACTAGGCACCCCTGAAGGAGACCGGGGTGGAGGACACTCTTTGTCTCTTAAGCATCTGTGGTTCTCCAGGTCTTGGAGAGACTCGGACTCAATGCTCCTGCCAATCATCTCAACATATAACTCTCTAGGGTTCCCTCATAGCTACAGTTCCCTCTGGCTTACTGTTTCCGGCAACTCCCTCCGCCCCTCTCCCAGGATTTAGGGATATGTACAGAGAAGCCACATTGCACCTGCTGGAGGAACTAGGAAAGCTGAACCCCCTAGTAGAACAGTCACAGTTGGGTGCTGCAGCAGTTATGGAGTGTGCTCGTCTTCCACTCACCAGACCACTCACCAGACCCTCCATCCAGGCCCCTTACCAGATCCTCACCAGACCCTCCACCAGGCCCCTTACCAGGCCCTCACCAGACCCTCCACCCAGGCCCCTCACCAGACCCTCCACCCAGGCCCCTCACCAGGCCCTCACCAGACCCAACACCTCTGTTTCACTCCACCCAGCTTCCTCAGAAGTGCTGGCCACTAGCATCTCCCCTCAGTCTTGCCTACCCTGTTCTTCACTGACCATACAGTCTCTTTACAGTGTCCACGAGTCTCTAGCTGTTTCTCATCCATCATGCCCTCCATATTTCAATAAGAGGATCCAGATACAACTTTAGCGAAAGTTTTCATTTGAACATATGAATTCCTTCCTTTTTTCCCTTTCTCCCTCTGTTTTCCTTTCTTCATCCCTCTATCATGCCCTACCATTATTTCACTCTTGTCCCCTTTCACTGATCAATTTCTCTGAATGGTGATCCAAACCACTGCTGTCACAATGATGTATATAACTAAAAAATTTCCAGTAACACATAAAAGTAAAGAAAAAAATCAACTACACTGGTATATTTTATTTAACCTATTACTGAGAATGGGTAGGTCTACATCTAAGCCAAGCATAAAAATCTGAACTGTGTTGTTATGCAGTTCCCTGCTCACACAGTGTCCCCAGCGGCCCAGAGTACACTCTGCTTGTCTTATCGCTCACATAAGCCTGACCTGGTCACAATTCAAGCACTCAGTAGCTTCCTGTGGCTAGCGGCTTCTGCTTGGCATAGGCAGGCTTGGACTTAGTTATCTCAGCCCAGCCTGCTGACTGTAGCAGACAGCAAACGCCGGTTAGGGCCTAACCCTACCACTGAGGCTCCCAAAGGCACCAGGAACCTCTGGACTTTGAGAACCCCAGGTAGGCATCACTCCCCTGGAGCTTTCAGCAGGTTCCAATTCTGTCTATTTATTGGCTCCGTGACTTTTTGCTTAGTTAGGTGTCCACTCTATGCCTGACACTGTTCCCCGTGCTGTAAATACATGCAGGAAGATTAGCTTCTGTACTGAGAGCAGCGGGGACAGAGCACAAAATGAAATAGATGAAGTAGGAGCAGCATGTTTACCAGAGCAAAGGGCTCCAGAGCAAGGAGGGCAGAAGCTGTGGAAGCAAGCCTCACCTCTCTCTCCTTTCTCTCTCCTCCTCTTCCTCAGCACCTGCCCGGCTGAGTCTCTGCCTTTGGGGGGCCCTACCCACATCTAAGTGTCCCTTGGCTTCTCTTCCAGTCCTTCCTGCTAACATGCAAGTCTTCCTCAGAGAGTTCCCTTCTCTTCTGGGCCTCTCTGGGATAACTGCATCTTCCCAGTGTCTGAAGCTCTCACTCCACTGATGGACTCCCCTAGCCATGCCTCCAGCTTGATGGTAATCAGTTCAGAGGCTCAAATCCATCATTTCTATGGATGCTAACATGATGGCATGGACCACTGGGATGCTAACACAATGGCATAGACCACTGGTATGCTAACACGATGGCATGGACACCTGGCATGCTAACACGATGGCATGGACACCTGGCATGCTAACACGATGAGATGGACCACTGGTATGCTAACACAATGGCATAGACCACTGGTATGCTAACACAATGACATGGACCACTGGCATACTAACACGATGACATGGGCCATTGGGATGCTAACACGATGTCATGGATCACTTGTTTATCAGATACAGGAGAACATTTAAGAGAGACAGAGTTATGATATTGCCTGGGATTTCCCCCGAGGAACCATTTCTCTATCTCTCTTTTTTTTTCTTTCGAGACATGGTTTCTCTGTTTAGCCCTGGCTGTCCTGGAACTCACTCTGTAGACCAGGCTGGCCTTGACTCAGAAATCTGCCTGCCTCTGATCCGAAATCCGCCTGCTTCTGCCATTTCTCTTATCTACCCAGAAAAGAACCTTGTTTTCCTGTGAGCATCCCAAGTGGGGGAACTGAGAGTTGATCAACTAGCAGGTGTGGAATGCTCTCAGGAACTTCGTCATGCTGTTAGGACTGTTCACAGAGAAAGGATCCAGCTCTAGTCAGATCCCCTCCTTTGAACCCAATGTATGTTTTCCTTGTGTTGCTGCTTTCCTGACCCGGGGTTCTCAATGGACTGGATGGAGTCAAGATTCTTGGCTTCTAATGGGAAGACTGTACTAGGCTTCTGTATGCTGAGATCCAGAAGTTCGATCCATATTCTTCCTCCTCCCAGGATTCCTTGCAGGGTAAATGATGTCACTTTCCTAGTTTTTGTGGCTACAGGTCTCTGTGCTCATCCCTGAGTGTCCCTGCTCCTTCAGTTCTCCACCATGCATGTAGACACAGAGCCAGCTGGACCAAGGTCATTTTGTTCCTGCTTCTCTATTGTTCCCTTTGCATTGTGAGAGTTACTTTTCTACTATTGCTTTTGAACATCTAGGAGACAGACCATAGTCACCCCCAACTATTCTATTCAATAGAATTAGAATCAAAGCTAATTACAATTGATCCGTTATACAACATGCCTTTCCACTTCCGATTTACTATCAGCCTCCTTGATTTCTTGGTCTTGCCCTTGTCTCTAGTCTTCCTGTTAATATTTGCCTGATCTTCAAAGTCTATTTCCATGAAGACTTCCACAAACCATCTTTGCTGGAACCTTCTAGTACCAAACTTATTCTCTCAAAGAAATCAAAATGTTTATGGTTGTAGCATTTTCCTGTGCCGAATGAACTCATCTTTTTCTCCCCTCCAAGGGTCAGCCCAACCTTAATATGGGTTGTAGCTCTTCTTGGTCATGTTTTCTACTGTGTCAAGCATATACCTGCAATGGTCATGGGATAATACCTCTGTATGCATGCTGGGTGAAGGGAATTCTCTGGCAACGTGTCACACATCAGCCTTAGACCAGGCTGTAGGAGAGGAAGCTCAGTGAGCTCCACAGAAGAATGGTCTTACCATTAAGGGTCCCCAGGTGATAGATTAGCTCGAAAGGTGCTTGCTATGCAAGCATGAGGACCTGAGTTCAGTCCCCAGAACCCATATAAACAACCACATGTGATAGCATGAACTTGTAAGCCTGGTGCTGGGGAGAAGAAACAGATGAATTCTTGGGACTCACTGACCAGATAGCCTAGTGCAACGAGTGAACTCCAGACTAATGAGAGACCCTGTCTCAATAAACCAGTTGGGCAGCCCTGAAGTAGGACACCAGAGGTTGTCCCTTGACTTTCACATGTACATGCCCTTACATGGATATATACCCCCAAACCCCTCCCCCCAACAATCATGGGCCTTACCTGACTCCTCTGCTTCCCTCATGGACTGCTCTATGGCAGCTCTGATGCACAGCTCCCGAGCCCGAATCCCTAGGATGTTGTTAGTGTCTGACAGGGCTTCTAAGACAATGGAGTCAATGTTCAGGCAGGCTGCATTGTAGAACTTGGCCATGCTGATGGCATTGGCTGTCTTTCCTGTAAAAGCAGCCAGGGCATTGACTCTTATTATTCTCATTTGCTCAGTGTCCTAGACAGAAGTCTTCAGAACAAAGTACCCTAAGGAGTCATTTCTGAGTGCTTCACCTCCAAGTCTCTTACGTGGCCAGAGATAGAGCCGGCAGACAAGCTCCTTATGTGCAAAGAGCGATCATTTTGTAGGTCCGATCAGTTTACAGATTCTGCTATTGGACATGGTAGATCCTGGATTGTCTGAGTGGCCTCAACCTCATAGCAGGGGTCCCCAGAAGAGAAAGAAAAGCAGGAGGGTTAGAGTCAGAGGCAGGGATGTGATAGCAAGATGCTGGAAGAGACTGGACCAAGAGCTTTGAAGATGCGGGATGTCATTCTGAGCCAGAAATGTGGGCAATGTTTGTAAAGGCTAGAAAAGACAAGAAAATGGGCTATCCACTAGTGCCCCACAAAGGTAACACAGCCCTGTTGGCCCATTTAAGACTTGGGGCCTCTGGGACTGTTAAGAGGGTGAATCTTTGCCTCTTCAGGCCTCTAAAATTGTGGCTGTGACAGAGGTAATAGATACAGATTACAAATCATAAGCTTGGCGGTTTCTCCTCATGGAACATGGCAGATCATGGATATCTTTTCTAAAGAATGTGTGTTTGTGTGTGGCATCTCTACATGTATGGACACCCATGCTGGTATTTGCAGAGTCCAGATATGATGTCAGGATATCTTTCTTTCATGGCTTCTCCCTCTTATTCTTAAGCCAGGCTCTTACAGAACCCAAGCTCACCATTTCTTCTAGACTGGCGGGGACAAGCTGCTGGGATCTGCCAGCCTTTGCTCCCCAGTGCTGGTGCTGCAGACACAAAACACTGCTCCCGGCTTTTCTGTGGGCCCTGGGGACCCAAACTCAGGTCCTCGTGTTTGTCCCACAACTACTTTAACTACCGAATCATCTCCCAGGCTCTGTCTTGGTCTTCACTGTAATATACTTGTATGACACTGTCTTTTCTAATTGTGGTGAAGTAGACACAAAACTTTAGATCTCTTTTCTGGTGTGTAATTTTTGGAGACGGGCCCTCTGAGTACATGCCTGTGAGCCTTGTTATTGTTATGCTGTTCCTCAGATAAAGCTCTTATGATCTGCCCTGATCACAGCAGATGTTGCCATGGTTCTGTATGGAGGAGTTGTGGCATCTCTGATCACAGTCTCCCCTGGGGATTGTCAAATACCTGACATGGGTGTCCCGTGGACGATAATGGCAATGCCCTTCCTGTTCTTGGCTAGGCGGCCTTCTGCAGAAATGTCGATGCCCAGGTGGCGTGCGATGGCCTTGCTCACTGGGTTGCTCTCCACCTCACCAACCTCTTCCACGGAGTGGCTGTCTGTGCTCTGCATCTTCTCGGCTGTGGAACCAAACCACAAGAGAGCGTGTGCATGGGCACGCATCCCAGGATTTACACAGGGACACGGACGCCATCGAGAGAGGTGGGAATGAGTTTTTCCTTTAAAATACTCTTTCTCTCTCTCTCTCTCTTTTTTTTTTAAACGTCCACTGCCGCAGCAGTCCCCGCCCATGGTGCACAAGAGTGCTTCATTTGGCTAATACTTTGTCTCTACATTTTAAAGTGAAAAAAAAAAAGGAGAGATATTCATTGACACAAATTCCACTTGGAGGTATTTCATTTGCTGAGAGATAGAAAGGATGGCCATGTAGAGGAGTCTGGAGTTGGCCATAGGGGAGGAGCCAAGACTGTGCCATGGGGAGAAAGTTCCAGGAAAGGTCAGGGGTGCTCAGAGACAAGTGAGCTGAGCCAGGCTGGGTACCAGGGATTCTGCCTTTGTCTCGGGTTTATCACTGAGTCCCCCAGCTTTAACTCAGATCTCATAGAAAATAAGGTCAGAAAAACGAATTCTTGATGTTGGGAGGGGAAATGGAGGGTTTCTTAATGATTTGATTGGAGGGATGTTTAAAAGGATGTTCTCCATATCCTCAGGCATCTCCATACCTCAGGGTATGTTTTTGTTTGTTTTGTTTTAACAGTTCCCATTTGGCTACACTCTTAGCATTGAGGCATCAAGTCTTTCTTGGCCAAGTTAAAATGCCAAGTGACTGTGCCAAGGAGAACACATCCCACACTAAGCTGCTCCGCAGGCTTCCATGTTTATAGCACGGTGTGAATAGAGGGGTCAGGTCTTCACCAGAGGGTGTATGTGGTAGGTGGGAGGCCACTGCCAGAAACCCAGAGTACCCCTTTACATGGAAAAAGATGCTTAGATCTTTCTTGAGCAGCCCTTTCATTTTTGCTTAGCCAGAGCTATCCCTGTCCCAGCAGTGCCCCCGCCCTCAGCAATGCCCCGCCCTCCGCAGTGTCCCCGCCCTCCGCAGTGTCCCCGCCCCCAACAGTGTCCCTGTCCCCAGCAGTGCACCGCCCCCAGCAGTGTCCCCGCCCCCAACAGTGCACCGCCCCCAGCAGTGTACCACCCCCAGCAGTGCCCCCCCACCCCCCGAAGTGATTGGTTACTTAGTTTTTCCAGGCTTTCTTCATAGTCGTCCTCATCTGGAAAGTTTTTGGCTTCAGTCGCAAGATGCCGCTCCTCCAGGTTGGATGTGAGAGATATCCCTCGGCTAAGTGATGTCCTCTTTGTGCTGGCAGTTCCTTGGTCAGATGTGTTCATTTCTTCCTCTTCTGCAAGGGTAGCAGAGGATGAAAACACACCGGAAGAGAGTTGGGAGGGGAGCAAGTGGGGATGGGGAAAGATTCGAGAAAAAAGGACACACAAAATGGTGAAGAGGGGTGAAGCTTGGAGGATGGGGTGGGGCAGGAGTCGGGGATGAATATCATCAAAATAAGTTGTATGAAATTCTCAAAGAATTAATACAAACATGTTATTCAATCATAATAAAGAACGGCCTCACTGATGATCATTCTGTACCTACCCAATCCTAAAAATCAAGACCAGCCACGAGCCTGCTCCAATGCTTCTTCTATGTGCAGTGTTCCAGCATTTAATTGTGGTTAGATACCAAGAGTTTGCCCAGGAAACTTGGAGAATTTTCAGAGTCCCAGAATATAAGGTTTAAATCATCAGAAAGTCACAAGGATTAAGACAGACACATGCAGTGACAGGAATTGAGGCTGGCTTTACAATCACTGGAGCAGAACTGCTGCTGTGCACATTTTTAATTCTCAGGCTTTCGGAACGACGTGGAGACCACTCTGTACAGGACAGCCTGGAGCCAGCTTCCACCATCACTGCCTCCCCGACATTCCCAGTGTCTCTGTTAAGTGTACCTGACCCCTGTCAGGCTGCCACCCTCCCTACAGCTTGCTCTTCCACAGCATCTCAGTGGGTACAACAGTCTGTGACAACAGCAGGCAGTCCCCTCTAACCTAGGGAGCCCCCTTTGTTTAGAACTGAGATGTGACTAGAGGCGGCCGCTGCCGTCCCTGGGCCATGGTCAGAGAAGGGAGAGTCCACAGCATGAGAGCAGTGTGAGCCAGTATCGAGAGAGGTATTGATGAGCATCTGGCCTGGGTTGCCCCTGGACCCATCAGCTTAGATCCAGACCATCTTCTACTGGGACAGACGGAAGTTTGGTATATGTGGATTTCAAAGAGCAACAAGGCTCTTAACCTGCCTCCACAAGGTCCTTTATACATGGCAGGCTCAAAGTCTCCTGAGGCCACTAGACCTGTGTTGCCCTGTCTCTGATCATCTTCCTGACTGTGAGCTCTCCAAAGGGAGGAGGCATATCATCTTCTTAGCAGCCCTTCTTCAGCTCAGCACCGGCAACATGGCGGGTAATTTTATGCATTCAGGGCTCCTTACATTCATGTACTAAAGTCTTAACCCCTCAATGTCTCAGAAGGTCACTTTATTTGAAAATCAGTCCTTGTGAATAGGTAACGAGGGTTTCCGGGCCATCATATAGACATGGTTTAATTTAATATGACTGGTATCAGCAATAAGAGGTCAGGGCAGAGACACACAGTGGGAAGGCACAGGAGGAAGAGAACCCATAAGAAGATGGGTTTCAGAAGGGACCAGCTCTGGTGATACCTTGACCCCAGTATATCTAGCATCTAGGACTATGAGAGCCACTTGCCCTGTGGCATTTGTAAAAACAACTACAACAAGTTACCGGTGCTGAACACGTTACCAGAGCACTGAACAGAGAGGCAGCTTTTCCTGCAAGCCAAGTGAATATCCAGTCTGTCTTCTCTTTCTTTGAGAGACCATGAGGCCAGAGAGGTGTCCACATGGCCCATTAGCTCATCCCTTACAGCCACACACTGTTGAGCATGCCATGTACTGGCTGCTGTCCCATGTACTAGGTTTACGAGTAGGGGCTATGTGAGGATTGCGGGTGTGTGTGTGTGTGTGTGTGTGTATGTATGTGTGTGTTTGTGTGTGTAGATGAGAAGGTCAGAGGACAACCTTGAGTATGGCCTTGACCCTCCACCCTTGTTTTAAGTCTCAGTAATCCCTGGACCCTAGTGAGAGCAGCCTCTGCATCCTTAACACAAATACCACAGGACCCATTTTGTAATGGTCTTAAAGGGGATACAGCAGGCACTGGGTACCTGGCAGGTGCTCAAGAGTGGGCTGGTCCCATGGCAGGGGTATTTGGAAGAGAATAGGACAATGGCCCAGAGCTCGCTCAGCTCTGTGCTGGGTTCTCACCGTTCTCCTGGGTCACGTTCTCCAGGTACTTGGCCTTCATGTGCTCCTCTTTTGATTTCTTCATCTCCTTAAAGTAATCATACACTTCCTGTGGCAGCTTCTCCCCCGGGTTCCGGGGAGGCAGCAGCAGGGTGTTGTATGAGTCGTAGCCCTTCAGCTGTCGCAGCATCTGCTCAGGGGGAGAAGGAGAGCTACTGTTGGCTTCAGTGGAGATTCCCTCCTGCTCACTGGCCTCACACAAATCCAGAGGCTGAGATTTGGAGAGGTGCCTTGTGAGTGTCACATGGTGGGGCCCTTTGGAGAGGTCTAAACATAGAGCTGAATCCTGAACTTATAGGGATTCAAAACCTTTATTTTGTTTCATACCCACCCAAGCATTTCACATGTGGAGACAATTTATCCTCTGAAAACAGCACAATACATTCTTCTAATAACAAACATACAGAATTCTATCATCCGTTCCATGTGTTTCATTCTTAAAAAGTACAGTCACAAATCAACTAATGAGGGGGGTATGTTCTGAAACGTGAGATTGTGTTATTAGATGATTTTGTCATTGTTTTAAAACTGAGATGCTATAATGTCACTAGGTGAGCTAATCTTATGGGGCGATGTTATCATGGTATTGTTAACTGAAGAGTAATGGGGTTGTAAGTTATGTAATGATAATATATGTGAAAATGTCATAATGAAACTCATTATTCTGTGTACTAGTTAAACAATAGTGATGATGATAAAGTAGCCAGTAATGGATCTTTAACTGTAAAGGAAACAGTAAAACAACCTTGGAATATCAGAAAGAAAATGATGAATAATGGCAAGAGTAAAAGGATAAGCGCTTCTCCTTCTCTGTGGTTTTCTAACAAAACCACATGCAGTTACAATGTTATAAGGAAAGATTTAAGAAAGTTACATTAAAATCAGGAGATTTATCCCCAGTTGGTCATAATAAGTTACATAGGCATAATACAATACCTGTAGCAATAACTAAAGCAGCTATATAAAGAGATATACTAAAAGGTGCTCCAGATAAATTGAGATGGAATGAAAAACAACATTGAAAGGACTGATAAGAAGTTACCACAAAGTATACAGAAGACGAAGAGCAAACCCAACAAAACAAAATGGCAGATGTTGTCCTCAGTATATCAACAATTACATTAAATGTAAATGGTCTACATATCCAAACTAAGGGCAGAGATTGTCTAGTTCATGCATTTTAAAGTTATTTGTGTGCATCTCTCTCTCTCTCTCTCTCTCTCTCTCTCTCTCTCTCTCTCTTCATGCTTTTGCACACGTGTGCCACGTGCAGAGTATAGGTTGATTTTTACTATCTTCCTCAATCACTCTCTACTTTTTTTTTCTTTGACTCAGGGTTTTTCACTGAATTTGAGCTTTACTGATTCAGCTAGCCTGGTTGACTCTAAGAGATCTTCAAGGAATCCCACCTATCTCTGCCCTCCCAGTGCTAGGATCACAACTATGCATTGCTGTGACTGGTCTCTTCACATGAATGTTGGGGACTGAATGCCGGTCTTGATGCTTTAAAGGAATGAACTTTACTGACTAAGTCATCTCTCCATTCCGTAATTATAGGAAGTCTAAAAGAAAGTCATTTTAAATATAATGCCAGGTTGTTACATGTAGTTCTTTACTGTGCAAATATTGACCATAAATATGCATTGGATTTTTAATTTGTTTAAAAGTGCATATTGGAATTACAAAAAAAAAAAAAAACCCAGTAAGTTCTCATGTGGAGAGAAGCAGGTAGAGAAAGTCTATGGAGAAGAGATTGATAGACTGACAAGGAGGGAAAAGGGCAGAAGGAAGGTACTGTGGACAGAAGGACACATGTCAGGGGTGGGGCCTGCCACGTCAGGGAGGGTGTTTGGTTTTGGTCTCCACTCACCTTCTCTTCTAAGAGATACTGCTGGTCAAATTCGAGGGAGTAGAACTCAATGGGGAAGCTGCAGGGGTTCCTCACAATCACCTCAGCCTCATCTCCTGATGCAAAAGGCAGGAGGGGCCCCAGTTCCAGAACTGAAGGGCTGAACTCCAGGCGTGGCTCCAGACCTTGGCCCTGTGCCAGAAGGGTAAGCTTCTGAGTGCTCTGGCCAATCTGGAACAGCAGGGATTGGCTGTAGAACTTCTAGAAAACACAGAGAAAAACAATACACAAAGTAAAACGGAGAAGCAGAGAGCCGCTAAAAGGGACAAAGCTTCTTGTCTCCTGATGAAAGGAGCTGTGTTTGCTATGGAGCTGTGAAAGGTCAACCTCTGTGGTGGAGCATTTGCATGCTGTGTCTGTCGCATGCTAGGCTCTGTGCCAGGGCTCAGAGAAAGAGAGAAGGATTTTTAATGTGATTCTCATGACTCTGAGTTTCCTGTAAGGGCATCACTCTGTCGCCCTGGGCCTGAGAGGGTACAGTAGAAAAAGCATCAGCATCAGCTTCCACCAATGACTCTCGGGAACACGGGAAACGTTTCATCTCCCCTCGTTCTTAATGATATCTCCCTCATTCAGAAGTGATAAAAGTTCAAAACCAGGCTGAGGATAGTTCAATTCCCAGTACCACAAAGAAAAATAAAATAAAATAATGTCTAAATCTTGCTAGTCTTAAGATACCCTCTTTTTTTAGATTTATTTATTTTATTTATGTGGGGGGGGACACTGTAGCTGTCTTCAGACACACCAGAAGAGGGCATTGGATCCCATTACAGATGGTTGTGAGCTACCATGTGGTTGCTGGGAATTGAACTCAGGACCTCTGGAAGAGCAGCCAGTGCTCTTAACGATGGACACATCTTTCCAGCTCCTTAAGACTCTCTTAATAACAGCGAGCATGTTACCAATTTTCTTCTAAAGTCATATGTGCTAGTGAGTGCATACACGTGTTATCCAGCAGAGGCAGATGGATTTCAGCAAGTCTTAGGCTAGCCTGGTTTACTTAGCAAGTTTCAGGCCAGTCAGAGCTACACAGTGAAACCCAACAAAAAGCTCAAGGAGGAGGAGGAGAAGGAGGAGGAGGAGGAAGAGGGGAGGAGAGGAAGTGGAGGAGGAGAAGAGAGGGGAAGAGGAGGCAAGGAGGAGGGAGAGGAGGATCAGGGAGGGAAGACGCTGGACAGAAATAGAAGCTTCAGCACCAGCGGCATTATTGGTAGACTTTGACAAGTAGGAGGAACACAGGGTTTGTTTTAGAATGAAATATGAAGCTATTTACTTTTTCTACTTTCCTGTTGCAGTTTCTGAAGAATTTCTTTAAAGTGATTACCAGGAAAACTGGAGTTGGCCATATATTGTATAAAATTTACGTAGGTTTTTCTTATCCTATAGAATAATATATGAGGCATGGGGGTGCATGCCTATAGTTCTGGTACTTGAGAGGCAAAGGATCCAAGGTTCAAGGCTACCCTAGGTGCTACTTGGTGAGCTCCAGGCCATTCTGGGGTACACAAAACCCTGTCTTTGAAAACAACCAAAAGGAAAATATCACTTGGATGTCTTAGGCTTTGAATAAACATCGTCATGGGTGGGGGACTTCTTGAGATCCTCTCTGTTTCCGGGCATGTGGTATTCTTGCCATGTTCTCCATTAAGAGTGACTTCACACTGATGACACTTGTGAGGCTCAGGGAGGCTTTCTGCCTGGAAGTGCTGACTGCCACGGCAACTTATGGTTCCTGCGTCACCTGTGTTTGTGGTCACTGGGTCACTGGGTCATTGGGTCAGTGGGTCACTGGTCACTGATGGCGCATAGAGCGGTGTGCTGTGTGCTGCGTGTTCCATTCGACGTTATTAATCTCCAAAATGACCCAAAGAGCCCTGGCTGCAGCTTAGGACTAGCCTATCTGAAATCTCAGCTTCCAGCTGCTTTTAAATTCTGACTTGCAAGAAGGCAAGCACTCTGTTACCTGGTGCCCTAAGCAGTCTTGGGGAGGTTTCCTGTAATGAAACCCATTTATATTTCTGTAGTTGCAATGCTTAGAAACTAGGTAGGATAAAGAAAGGCAAAACAGTCGTGTCAGTTCAAATGAGATTTTTCTATTGAGTGAGTTTTAACATGAGACTTATGAAATTTCAACCCCCACTTTTGGGAGCCTTATTGGGTTTCAGAATTGCAATAAGGGAGTTTTGATACAGGAATCTTATTGCTTCTTTCTGTTGCCTATGAACAAGCTGGGGCTTAGGCAGACAAATGATCTGCTCAAAGATACACAGCTTATAAATAGACAAGCAGTGTGCCACTAATACTGTGCCACTGAGAAAGTTGAAGTGTTACTCACGTCTGCTGAGCCCCGCTCACTGAGCTACACAGCAAGTAGGTGAACTTGAAGGACAGGCCATATGCAGAATGGGAGGTTTGAGTCTCAGACAAGCCTGGGCTTAGACTTCAGAGAGAGCCAGGAGGAGGATCTCTACAAAGCCTCATTTTTCTTCCGAGCTCACCTCTTCTTTAGGCATGAATTTCACTTGCACATTGGTCCTCTCGCCAGGATCCAAGACTCCGGAAGTAGGTTGGATCTCAAAGATCCGAGTCTTGGGAATCATCTCAGCTCGCAGCTTCCGTCGTAAATACTTTGGCATGTGTTTATCCAGCTGGGTAACGAAGGTTAGACAGTTAGGTCATGGATGTGGAAAAGCAGATCCATTCCATTCCCCATGCATAAGAGAGCTACACTTCCTGAGTGCTTTCCAGGCATCAGGGAGTGTGCACTGCAGGGAAAAGGGGAGTAAGACATTCTACCCAATGCAAGGCCTGATTTAGCAATGAGTGCCAGGCTTAGGGTCTGGGCAACAGTTAACATGGAGAGTCTTTCAATGGGAAGTTAAAATGGTGGGGGGAAAGGCCTAGGGTCCCAACTCTGGCTAACGTAGATATGGAGAGAAGGGGAACACAATTCACCTTGTTAGTAATCTTTGGGGTGTGGACAAACCATTCACAAGGGACTTGGAGATGGTTGGAAAGCTGAATGGTTTCCACCATGCACTGCCCGCACTGGATTGTAGCAAATTCTATTTTGTTGCACGACAGGGTCATACTTGGAATGGTCACAGTGGCCTGGAGACAGAGGTGAATGGTTGGCCCTCCAAACACCTGGAACAGACAGAAAGTTACAGTTACCTTGTGGCTTGGGGTTAGGGAAAAACCACAACAAAATGGTGTCTCAGGCTGGAGATGTAGCTTGGCAATAGAGCTCTTGCTTATGGGGCTCAGAGTCCAGCTTTTGATCCCCAGTAATACATGACCTGGGGGTTCTCAACAGGCCTGCTTGGGAACCTGGGTGACCATTATAGGCCTAAGGGTGCACTGTACCTTGATGGGGAGAACGACTTCTTTGTTCCCCACAGGAAGATTAGCCCCTTGTGGGTCACATCTCACTTCAAATGTTTCTGTCTCACAGTAAGGTAGATTCTTTACACGGTCTAGCTCAGTGCTGAAGCCTGGACCAAGACAAAGGAAAACATTTGTTTTTTTATGAACAAGGAAAATAGCCCATAGGAGTTGTCCTGCACGGCCTGTCCTCTGTGATAGGCTGACCAAAGTATCTCAGAATAACTCCTTCAGCTGAGTGCAGAAGTAGCAGGAATGTCAAGGAAGTATGCTCCTGTCACGGGCCCTGGAAGGATGGGGCATAGCTCCTGGTACCTGTTTCGTGAAGGACTTGCTTTTCTGCATGGAAGGACACAGGAAAATGGCTGGTGTTGGTGATCTTGATGATGTGGGTTCGGACGTCACCAAGTACAATGTAGCCGAAGTCTAGGATGTACTCTGGCAGCTGGACTCTGAAACAGTCAGGGGGATGCCCTAGTCACTGGTCACTTTCAAGCCCAGAAGGCCACTTTTCACAACGGGTGAGCATTTATGTTCTCTCCTGTGTGGAACTTTTTTCCTTTTTTTTTTTTTTTTTTTTTTTTTTGTGATGGAGAACAGCTAAGGACCCCTAGATAAAGATTAGATACTCCATATATTCTTCACAAGTACATGTGTGTTTTGGTCATTATCCAGTGACATGTTCAGTACGGGCCCCACGGAGCTGAGATGAGTCTGTCTACTGGATGTGGTATTCTGGCTTTAAGAGCCAGACTTGCCTGATTGGCTTGATGCTAGGGGATGACTGCTAACATGAGGTGTGTGGCTTTTAGTCCCAGGTGATCAATCAGTATCTCAGGAGACACTAAGAACTGTTTGCTTCAACACACTCCGAAACAAAGGCAACACAAATGCAAGGGGGCCCTCACTTGGCTAGTTTGCGGCAGCTCCGATGGCCAAAGTAGATGTCCTCGGTGGTGCTGGAGATTCCTCTCTGGTGTTCCAGGGCATAGTCTTGGACTATAAGTCGCTCTACTTCCATCTGGAGGTGAGCACTTATCTGAAGCGAGAGGGAGAGCAATTCAGAAGACTGTTCTTCAACATGAATCCTCTCTGATCACTGTTGGTAAGTTGTTTTTTTCCCACAAAGGATAAACTGATTCTTTATGCTTTCTAAGTCTTAAATGTGTACTAAGTAAGGGTTAATAATGAATAAATTCTCGTGCATTTATAAATGAGAGAGGTTTTTTAAAAAAGTTTTTAGGTTTGTTTATTTCACATATATGAGCATTTTGCCTACATATATGTATGTGTATTGTATATGTGCCTGGTGCCCATGTAGTTCAGAAGAGAGCCACAGATGCCTGGAACTAGAGTTAGGGATGGTTGTGAGCCACTGTGTGGGTGTTGGGGGCTGAACTTGGATCCTCTGGAAGAGCCACAAGTGTGTGCAGATGCTCACCCATCTCCCTGGCCCCAAAAAATACAGTTTAAAAATGTTTTGGCATGGGCTGGCAGGATGGCTCAGCAGATGAAGAGGCATTTGTTACCAAGTGTGATGGCCTGAGTTCATTCCCTACATGGAGGGGAGAACTGACTCCCGAAAGCGGTCCTCTTACTGTCTCAGTTGCTCTGTGATGTATGCACACTCCCCTGGCAAATAGATATGTAATAAATGTCTTTTTTTAAAAAAAATGTTTGACAAAAATTCATAAGTTCTGTAGACCTACTGTGTGCTTTCTCTGCATGATTTCAGCTTCAATGGTCATTTTTATAGCCCTATGCTAGGACACAAACCTAGAACGCTCTACCCCTCAGTTCACAAAGTTTTACTTATGTGAAAATGTGTGCCTGGGGTTATATGTACTTGAGCCCAGAGATCCACAGTGGCCAGAGGCACTGGCTCCCCTGGAGTTAGTGTTACAGGTAGAGAAGGTTTCCTATTGCAGAGGGTAGTGTTTAATGCAGATTCATGAGAGTTCTCAATGCCTAGAATAAGTGATTCTGAGTACTCAGCTCTGGATGGTGCAACAACGTTTCTTCCTCCTCTTACAAAAATGATGCAACAATGTTATTTTCTCCCTTTACAAAGGCTCAGGGGACATCTTGGAAGAGTGGATTAAAAGAATGTGACATCAGACTGGGGAGGGGAGTGCCTTGAAGGGCTGGCTTCTGGACATAGCATGGATGCTACACACGTGAACTCACAAGTTCTGTGGTTACCTGCACAACTAGATCAAGCCAGTTAAAAAGTCCAGCATTGAGTGGGGAGGGATTCCCAATGCCTCACCCCTCACCGAGCAGCCAATGGTGGATGATGGCTGCCAATGGAGGGAGATTTTTCCTGGGAAGAGGTGAATCTTAGTAGGTTGCTTATGTCCCAGTAGATGATGTCATACATGTAAACATACAGGCAGCTCTAATTCGACTTGGTTGGTTAAAAAAAGAGGGGGGTACATGAAGTTGGGAGGCAGATGGGAGATGGGGGCACTGGGAGGAGTGGGTGAGGAGATGCAAAGGGGGACTAAGATACATTTGTAAATGTGTATGGAATGTCCAAAAAATGAAAAGAAAGCAATTTTATGCTTAGTAATAGACCATCTTGATTCATCTCCCCTCCTTCCTTTCCCACACAACTTGATCTTCCTCCTGAGTTTTTCTCTCCCAATACACCCTTCTTTATGATACACACAAGTGAAATGTCATCCCTGCCTCATTCCATATCTATTCAATCTTGACCATTCCGGGTCTGGAATATTCCTTGTCCCCACTCAGCTCCCTCTTCTGGGGGGTGTCATAATCACTACTACCTTTCACCTAGATTCATCCCAAGAGCTTTAAAAAGCCTCTATCTCCTCTTATCTGCTCTGGTTCCATTAAGCCCTGTCTCCTCATAGCTCCATGAGAAGCTACAGGGATCTTTCAGAGAAGCAAATTCAATTATGCCGTAGCACTTCCGGTTAGAACATTTTGGTGCCTCCCTCTTGCCCTTAGGAAAAGTCCCAAACTCTTAATGGGTTCTCCAGATAGCTGCTCACCTCTTTGGGCTCATCTTGTCTTCTTTCCAAGCCCCCCTTTTGCCTAGGCTATATCTTTCTCTACTCTGTTTCTGGGATATCCCATGTCATCGCCCAGCCCTGCCACACCCAGCCCTGCCCCACCCTACCCCATCCCACCCAGCCCTGCCTTTCACATGTTCTTTTCCTTTGTGCAAGATGGCGATATTCTCACCTCTGCGGTCTCCTCCTCGTGGAGTTCCTCAGTAATCACCTCATAGGGATTGACAGTCTCATATTTACTGTACTCTTTTTCTATGGTTTTCTTTGCTTGTTCCAAAAAGTGTTCATACTTTTCATTGCCTGTGGAGGGGAGAGGGGAGAGAAGCCGCCTGGTCAGACACAGAGATGTGCTCGGCCTCAAATCTAGACTCTCAGCTCAGGGGGGAGTGAGGGGGGAGAGAATGTTTTCTACATTCCGCCTACTATATCTTCTCTCCCTTTGTAGGGACAGGTAATTTGTGAGTGAGTTGAATGCGTACCTGAGACCTAACTGAGTTTAATGACACAGCACACGAGCCACAAGCTGGTTCTTAAGAGCACAAGGTGCTAACAGGCTCCTGCAGGAACCTGGAGGTAGAGAGAGCCAGCTGAGAGGGTCAAGAAGGAGCCTTTGCCTCATGGTTGAAAATCGGGATTCCTGCAGGTCCTGGATCTACAAATTGGAACTCTGCTTAGTTCTCAATTCTAAACCTTCAATGACACCTGACAGTCCCCTTCAATGCTGAACAAACTGAGATAGCTGGTCACTCTTTCAGTGACTTTTTACATGCTAAGTCCTTCCCAGTTAACATAAAAGGTCTGTTGGGATCAAGTTACTTTAAGTCAAGTGAGTCACAATACCCTTAATGAAGGCTGGTAGACAGTTGGCAGGGGGATCTCAGATGCTTGGATTGGCCAAAAGTCCCTGCAAATTCAAATGTTTTGAAGGGAAAGGTGGGCAAAGAATTAAAAAGCCTACTATGAAATAAAAAAATCAGAAATGCTGAAACTAGTCAACACCAGTGCTTAAGACCAAATGATGTTCAGATTTGAGTAACTGAAGAATCTCCCTGGTAACCACACCCTCTAGCTTATGATGCTAACAGGGAATCCTGATTTTTAACCATGAGGCAAAGGTCTCCTTCCTGACTGTCACAGCTGGTTCTCTGTACCTGTAGGTTCTGGACCTACAAATCCAAACACTTATGGATGGAAACTGTTGGGGAAAACGGTGCCTCTGTACTGAAGCGGTACAAACCTTTTCTTGTTATGTCCTGGCGACTGAGTACAGTCACTGCTTATACACCACTTCTATTGTATTGGGCACTACGAATCTAGAGGTGGTGGGTCAAAGTACATGAGAGGACGTGTATAGATTCCATGGAAATACCATGACATTTTATGTGTGGGACTTTCGCATGTGTGGATTTCAGCAGCTGAGGGCCTGATGTCAGTCTTGAGCAGATCCTGAGGACTGAAGGCACGTGGGGAGCTCAGTTACCCTCCTCTGACTGAAGTTCTAATATTAGAGAATAGTGTGGTCTTAGCTTTATTCACATTTATGTTATATGAAACACAATATAATATGAAAACATAGCATGTTTCCAGGGGGCTGTTAGTTATAATTTAAGGGATGATCCTCAGTGGGCGAGTTTCTGACTTGAGGAGGAGGAGGACTGGGAAGTGGGCCTTTCTCTGAAACCCTGTAGGGAAAGCAAGCAGATCTGAGAAATGCAAAGAGGCCATGAAGAGTGAGCAGTTTCCACTGACCTGCCCTGGGTTAGGAAGAGCCAGATAAAAGAGCCTCTAAGCCAAGTATGGGGACCCACCGAGGCAGAATTACCAGCCTGGCACAGGAACATGGCTTTGGGACCACATGGGGCTAGGCACACAGGTAAATAACTAATAATATCTAATTTCAGCCTTCAAGTGTATAACCCTGGAGGAAAGGTCTAAAGGCTATGGCTGCTTTCCTGAGAAGGTCATTGAGATTTCTACACCTGACAGTACACCAGACTCCAGCTCCATCATGAAGATGCCGAGCGTGTTTGGTTGGGACAGGAGACTGGGAGAGACACTTTGGCTGAAAGAATGCACACTTGGCCCAAATGTCACCACGTTGGTATTGGTGGGAGTCAATTGATGGCAAAATTGGCCGGGAGTCTTAGTTTGCAATGGCCACAGTTTGAGCCAAATCTAACGCTTGTCCCCCACCCCTGGCAACTGAGGCACAACATAGAAGAGTGCTGGAGATTTTTTAGACAAATAAAATGACTGAACAAGGTGAGTGGGCACTGATCTTCAAAGACTCACAGCAAAGAAAACACTGTTAGTTTTTGTACCCCACCCCCCACCCCCGAGAGTGGAGGGGTTAAGTTAGTGAAGTGGGGGAGGGTAAGCTATTGCAGTGGAGGAGGGTAAGCTTTGCAGTGGGGAGGGTAAGCTTTGCAGTGGGGAGGGCAAGCTATTGAAGTGGGGGAGGGTAAGCTATTGCAGTGGAGGAGGGTAAGCTTTG